GGGGTGCTCTTTGCTTCTGTTGGTTGGCGCGAGATTGCTGAGCAAACATCTCGGTCTGGTAGGCTGCCGGCTGCCTCATGAACTCATACATTTGCTGCTGGCCAGCCATCATTGTTTGCTGTTGGGTGGCCATCATCTGGATAAGCTGAGTCAGGATTTGGTCCGTTCCTGGAAATGTTGTAGCCAGCGGAAAGTCGGTAGCCGTCCGTGACCCTGTTGCAGCCTGCTGGACCGCCTGGTCCTGTTCACTGCCTGTCGAATGTTCGGGCATGGCTCGATATTTTGACCCTATCGTGCGGGATCTCAGTGAGCGTGCAGCGATCAACACGCGCCGACTTCGACGTTTTACACTTGAGCATGGTCTACTATTTTTTTTCAGCTACGAGCTGATGCACCTCGGCGACTTTGTGTCCCTGACTCGCCTGGTCACCGTAAGAAGCTTCTCTTTGAAGACCATGATGTCCCGACACGGGGTCATCCCGGCCAAGCCAAGACGTTGCTCCTCCTGCTCGAAAAATACTACTGGAAGGGCATGGCACACTCCGTTGACCAGTATGTTTCTTCTTGTGAGCTGTGCCAGCGAAACAAGTCCGTCCGAGGCAAGCCTCCGAGTCTTCTTCACCCTCTGGACATTCACAGCAACCGGTGGGAGGACATCAGCATGGACTTCCTGTCGCCGCTTCCCACAACGCCTGCTGGATTTGATGCCGTCCTTGTAATCGTTGACCGCCTGATAAAGCGTACGCACTTCTTGCCAACACACTCGACCGCGACAGCTTCAGCTACTGCTCAACTATTTTGTAACTTTCATCAGCATTTACACGGATTACCTCTCTCCATCGTTTCCGATCGTGATCCGAGATTTACTTCAGCTCTGTGGCGCGCTATCCTGGACCTACAAGAAACGCAGCTTCACCTGAGCACGGCATTCAAGCCGTCAACCGACGGCCAGTCTGAAGCGACAATCAAGTTCGTTGGAGAATATCTGCGTCACTTCGTTCGTCCTCACCACGATAACTGGGATAGTCTCCTCCCACTCACTGAATTCGCGTACAATTCGCGTACAATTCGCGAACTCATTCATCAATTGGCATGTCGGCGTTCATGGCTGATCTTGGGTATCAGGCTCGTTCGGTGGTCGATTGCATGGTGACTTCCTCTCGACCCACTCGAGCAACTACATTCGCGTCGCACCAGCAAACTATTCTCGCTGAAGCCCAGGACGCGATGGCAGCAGCTCAACTCCAATGGCACGCGGCCTACGACCGCAACCAACCCCAACTTACGTTCGCGATAGGTGACGAAGTCCTGCTCGACACTAAGAATCTGGACCTGGCCCACATGGGCACTGATGGAAAACGTAAACTGGCAGTTTGCTTCATTGGACCTTATCGCGTTGTCAATATTACTGGACCAGATACCTACGCTCTCGATCTACCACCGGGACTGCGTCTTCACCCTGACTATCATGTCTCCCGGCTCCGGCGATACCATCGCGATCACGATCCACACCGAACTACCC